GGGTTTTTTTATTATTTAATAATCCTACACATTTTCTTCTAAATAGATTTTTCAAGATTACATTTTATGAAGAATGATAATATCAAGTTCAAATTTTGATGTAATTATTTAAATTGCAATGTTGTATATGCATTACTTAGAACTTGTATTTTTAGTAATATAAAATAGTCCCTTCCAGGAATATGTTCTATACCTCCAATTATTCAAATTTTCATTTAAATCATCCAATGAAAGAGATATATAGTTTCCATATAAAGTTTCCCTGCATATTAAAATTCAACTTTATCCCTAAATATTTTATATATTCATTATTCTAATGAATTTCTCCCTTTTTAAAATTGTATTTTCAGGCTGTTGTTAATTAACAGAATATAGAAATACAAGAAATTTTATATCTTTATATTATAACCAGATATTTATTAGTTAATAATGGATATTCTAAGTATATGTTTATGTATATGTACATACACTAAAATACGTTCCTAGCCATTATTTACTTTTCATTTATTTTCCCTCTATATTTGCATTCTAAAGAAATCTAGGGAGCATTTGCAATCTTGCTCCTTGGCATATGTCATCAGTTTGGCTCAAATAAACTCTTATAAAAATTCTCTGTAGGTTTGGATGTTTCTTACATCGACATTTACTTGGTGTAGTTCAGCAGAATTCTAAAGAAGCCCACCCAAGACCATCCCCTGGAGCTGGTGCTAGATACAAGCAAGGTCCCATTGTGCCCCACTGGCACCTGGCATCATATCAGATGAACTCAAGTGAGTTTCTCAGAATTCCAGGCCTCCTTGCTTTAAGTAGCAGCCATGACTTTATTTGAGCTATTAGAAAATCCTTGAGATGAATAAGGGTTGAGATAACCCAAGGAAATGGGGAAAATAAATGGGCTGCTGACTCTGAACAAAATATTTGTTGGTTAAATGAGAGACTGAAAGAGAAAGGACATTACTTCCCCAACCCAAATAGACAATGGGGTGATGACAGTTGTTTCACATCCCCAAATCCAGAGTGGCAGAGATGGGTACTACGAGGCATACAGTGTGGTAGCGCAGCCAATTGCAGAGAAGCTTGTGGGAGCCTTGGGGAGAAAGGCAGGGTGCTCTGGTATGGGTTCACGCTGAGTCCAGAGGCTCTAGAGAAGGGCCTATGCTTACAAAGTGTTGAGGTTCCAGTTGCATCAGGCAGGCAGGCTCTCACTGGCCTGTGCTGGGGTAATTTTAGGTGACTATGAATCTCTGTGGGGTTGCCCAAGGAAAATTTTCTCTAGAGCATAGAGCAGCCTTATAAGGTATCCTCAAATGGAGACATGCACATAAAGGCTGGTTTTCCCTAGAATTTTTTTTAGATTCTATAGATCTCAAAATTAACATCAGAAATGGTATCTCCCAGGGCAACAAGCCCCATGACAGTCAGTCTCCCATTTAATACTAAGATGGCTGAAATGAAGATACTTTGATACTTCTAAATTAAGTTTTGTGTACTCAATTAGAAAAAGCCAGCTATGAAATTAGGCAGAATGAATAGAAAATATATTTAATTGGTAATTGGTCTCTCAGGAAGCTTCAAAAGAGGATGTACATAAATGGATATTTAAACAAATGGCTCAATCTATGATGTCATTTAGGCGTCAACCCAATCCTTTGAGATAATAAAAATGTATCTTTATTTTAAAAGGGGACAGGTCATTTAGAACTTTATTTGTCAGGACAGATATAAACTGTAAATCCTTCAGGGTAAAATCTGTATCCAACTGTTCTTTCATAAACTTGTGAATTTTTCTAATGGCTAAAAGGTGTCCGTTTGTGTTCATGTGTCTGTATAAATATGTTGTAAATGTGGAGTAATTTTCTACCTCCCAACGGTATTGTTAAAATTATTTTAAAGGCAAGCACTTGTAAAAACTGCATATTCTAAAATTCTCAGAAATATAGAAACTAACTCAAATGCTTTTCAAGTTCATGTGATCTAAGATTAAACCTTAGTAAATAAAAACTAGCAAGTTTATTGGTTTAAACAGCCATGTCTTTTTTTATTTGGGTCTTACAGAAATAAGTCCATGCTAATAATTGAATTTGCTGTCTATGAAATATGTTTCTAGAAGTTAAGTGATTAAAAATAATAATTAATAATAATAATAATAATAATAATGAGGGCAATGAGAAACCCAAAATGGCCACTTGGTTCTTCCTTGCTTTCTGGCTCCCCATTTTTTAGTTTTGCATTCCATCATGTATCATACTGCATTTAAGCTGAACTTAGATGAAGGAACTTATGAGCTAACATTATTAAAAGGAGACATCTTACACTATTTGATAGAATCACTTTAAGAAAATGTCAAGTTGTAACAGCTTCCTTTCACAGGAAGTTCCCAGGAAACAAAGACTTTACTGTTTTTTGGAAATAACATCAAATTAAAGACACTCTCCAATCTCATTGGAAGAGAACTTATCAGGCACCTAACCGTGAATGGATATCTATCTACCCTTGTCTATGGACATCAAAGACTCCTCAAGGATGAGAAATTGCTGACACCAAAGATAGACAGCTATCCAAAGACAGTGACAAGGCTTGTATACCTATGGTTTGATATTATGCTCAGAATTCATTTTGTTAGATTGTTTTTACATATTTGCTAATGATATTAGTCATAATAATAGCTATACTTGTTCTTTGGGTTTTTCTATAGTCCAACTCTTTATGATTATTGAAAATATATAAGGTAATTGTTAATACTCTTTAAAAAAGAAATTGAAATGCTTTATTAATAATATGGAAGTATTATTCCTAATTCTAAAATTACTCTGTTCCTTTTAAAGCTCTCAAAGTAGCTATGTGCCTATTCTCTTAAAAAATGCACATATATATGCACTCAGATATACACATATATACAGAGATTTGTGTATAAATGATGCTATTGACTGTAATACTGTTTTTTCTATTTAGCAAAGAAGAACTATTTTATTTTATATTGTAAAATACATTTATTAGGATTTGATTTTGAATTTAACAATTATTTTTAAAATATCTATTAAATTATAACATGTTATTTCCTAACTTATTGATGTGGTATTATGTAAAATTTCTTCTGATATTAATATTTATCCTTGAATTTCTAAGGGGGAAAATCTAATTGTTCTTGGAATAGTATTCTTTAAGAATGGCAACTGAATTCGAATTTGTAGCACTTTAATTGTCAATCTTTAAGATTAAAATATTTTTCAGAGAAATCTGCTTTTTATCAGTGAGATGAGTGAGATGTTGGTTTTCTCATTAGAAGGAACAAAAGAAGTATTGATGTAGGGTGAGAAACCAGACACTTCAAGAAGTTATTTTAAAGGAAGACACAAGAAAATATGTAATGCAGGAGAATAAATAGTCCTAAAAAGCAAATATCACACATAAAAACTTTTTCCTAGGGCAAGACCAGTGGAAAATAATCTCACTATATTTTGTATTAAATTAAATTATAACCAAGGATAAATATAACCATTGGGAATATTTTCAAGTATCCATTTCTGCAATTGCCAACCTTGAACAGCAGACAGTGAGACCTCTGAAGGCAAAGTACTCTTTCTGATTGTTGTTGTGAATAAATTAAAGAATGCTTTTGGAATCTGCTATTTCATTTCTGATTTTATTTTACTGTAATTTTTTCCTACTAATGAAATCACTTGAAGTAGCTTATTCTTTATATATGGTAAATTGCTTGGTTCTTATTTCTAAAAAAATCAATTATGTATTCTTAAATATTTCAAAATATAGAAAGAAAGTATTCTGGATTGCTATAAAATCTGTGAGCATACCTCTAAACCCCTGCAAGTAAAGTGCTCCTTGTCTTATTAGTATCTTAAACTCTTATTTAACCAAAATATTTTTTTTAATGCAAAACCTTTCTGGATTTTACCTACATCTTTGCAGAAAGAATTTGTCACCCTGCCTACTTTCAATTGTATCTTTTTGTTTCTAGTAGATATGATGACATACATAGGCTTAAGAGCTGGAGGAGTGGGGTGGTGGGGACAGATTCCAACCCTAAATCTGCTACTTACTAACAGTGTGAGACTGAATGATCTACAGAAGGATTTTGTTTTCTCTTTTGCTAACTAGAATATTTCCACTTCCCTCTCACAGGGTTGGTTTGTCTTTTATGAAAGAATGTGTTAATTCACAACAAAATTAGTTCATCTTCACTTTTTTCTAACACTTTAATGTTTGTATTTATATTCATCACAGAATTCTTGTTATGTTTTGTCAGTCAACTTGAGGTCAAGGACTATGTTTTATTCATCCTTGTATCTCATGTTTGACTCAATGAATCTGGGAAATCAATTACTGTGCTCCAACCTCTGGGAATCGAAAAGACCAGAAAGTGCTTGCCCAGTTAATTTCTAACATTCGTTTATATATTTGCCTAGAGTGCCTCCTGTGGTGCTCGTACCTACTGTGTATTACTCCAAATACATGAGCTCTAGTCCCTCACTAAGTGCATGTTGGTGATGTTCGGAAGACAGTAAATTGATTCTGTTGCCTCATTCCAGTTTGGAAAATATATAATGAATATTTGCAATGACCTGATTATGCAAAGTTTTTATTCCTGTGTGTCTGATCTCTATTTGGTGTCAGTATCATTCTGGACTATGGCTCTCAACACTCTGCAACTTTGAGAAAGCTCCAGGAGCCTCCATATTGGCAATCCATGCAGAACTGCAATACACAGGTGAAAAGTTATAAATGGAGTCATTTCCTCTGAAGAAAATGGAGCACTTGAAGTGAGACTACTCCAGAGGGATCACCCTTGGACAGTCCAGGCTGCAGCTGCTCTGGAAGGTCTTCACTCTGCGACAGTACTGAGATTTCTAGGAAACAACATTTATGTCTTGGTCCCTAAGCTACTTCCAGTCTTCTCTCATTTATCACAGCCCCAAACAAAACTGCCCCAAGACTTTAAGATCGCTAATAAGAGCTATGCCAAGTTAAAAGCTTTGCCCTGAATACCTACCTGGCAGGGAGATATCAGAATCACAAAGGTGGTTTTCTCAGGGAGAAGCTCAACCATTGCACTCTGGGTGTGTTGATCCCTGCAGTTTCCCCAAATGTGGGAAAATCAACTGAATAATTTGTGGTAGTTGGGGATTGTATTTGCACTTTCTCTGGCAAAAAAAAAAAAAAAGAGGGGTTTCCTTGAGCCAAGTACAGACAAACATTTCTTGGGCTTTATTTCAAAGTTGGGAAGATTGGGTTGAAAAGAAACCAATAATTTGGTATTGTAAGTGTATACTCATACCAAATCACTAGGAGAAATAAACAATTTAGACACAGCAGTAAACCATGCCTCTTTGAATCAAGAAGGTAATACTAGGGAGGAGAGAAGGGTAAGAAGTGACTCAGGTAATGTTGATATTATTTTGACTTGTTAGAGCTGTTACTACCATCACTTACAATGGATAATCAAAGCATCACGATATTAAACACATTCATAATTGTATAAAAAATGGAGCCTCTGCCCCTGCAATTTTCTGTCTGCATTGGAGTCAACCTGTTGTTAATATCAACATCAATTAAACAATTTCTCTGTTTGTGTGTCTGTTTTGTCCATACCCTGTTAGCAACCATATCATGTTCATCTCCCACAAATAATCATCCTTCTAAATGTCCAAAAGATATACGACATCTAGGCTATACAAGTCTACTTTAAAGTGGGCCAGCATTTTCACACACACACTCCTTCACATAAACCCATAAATGTTTTTCCTTTTTTCTTCTTATGAAGAATGATAGGTTTTAAATGAGGATTAACATATTTTTTTAAAAAGTACAACAGAAATCTATTTGCAAGTCCAAAATGCATTTTGATTATACCTAGAATTGTTTACACTATTTCTAAGAGGATACTGTCCAAAGAGCATATAGAAGTTTTATTATTCTTTTTAAATATTGTATCAAATAATTTTCTGTCAAATTATGTTAAATGTTTTAGTTCTAAATATTACTTCGTAGCATAACTGTTTAGTAGGTATGTCATTTAGTATTCTACCTTCTAAGTAAAGGAAATAATGATTTAATTACCAAAATTAATGCTAACCAAATAATTATGTAGACATTAATTATGACTATATTTTAAAATATTGATATCAACTCCTGGTAGAAAGCACAAAGATATTGTCTACTTTCAATAATTAAATCAAATAATGTTGTAACTGTCCGTGGTATATTTCTTTGGATCTCAGATAAGTATTCACCTACTCAGTGCATTAGTTGGAGAAAACTCAGTAAAAGAAAGAGTCCTGTGAGGCTAAAAAAGAAAATTTTACAAATCAACATATGTCATCTTGAAATAAAAAATATCAATTAATTATTACAAAGCACAAGTTACAAAATTGCCAGAATGTCTATCATAGGAAGTAATCTATTAGAAACTAATCTGGACCAATCAGATGTTTTTTCTAACAGAATTGAAAAAGCAGAAGAATTTAATCATTTTCCAATAAACAATTATACAATTAATTGCCCTTTCTTGATATTTCAGTTAAGGTTAGATTCTCATTGATGAAATCTTTACAAAACAATGCCAATTAAAACCACATTTACACAGGAGCTCTGAAAGAGGTTCCAATAGTCACAGCTAAAAGAATTTGAACAAAAATAAATACATAACAATAATATTGGTTTTTAGCAAAGAGTAAGAATATTATCCTTATCTGTTTTGATTTTATTTTTTTATTTTTCTACACTTAGAATTTTCATGCAATACTAATGACTTTTTTCTCTTGACAGTTTCATAAATTTTAACACATATACAGATTTGTGTAACCACCATCACCTCAATGAAGATATAGAAAAGTTTCATCACAACACAGCACTCACTTGTGCTATCCTTTCACAGTCACTTCTTTGACCCTACATTTGGCAACCACTGATGTATTCTTTAAATTATAATTTGGGTTTTTTTTAAATGTAATATATATTGAATCAAACAGTATATAACTTTCTGAAACTGGCTTTTTCACTCAGCCTAATACCTTTGAGGGTCACCTCAGTTATTGCACACACAATAGTCCTCCCTTAGTCGCAAACAAGTTTCAAAAATATTAAGTAGAAAATTCCAGAAATAAACAATTCATAAGTTTTAAATTGCATGATAATATCTTGCACTATCCCATGCCACCTCACATGGAATATGAATCATCCCTCTGTCTACTGTACCCACGCTGTATAAATTTCTTGACTGTTAAGTCACATAGTAGTTGTCATCTAGGTTATCAGACCAACCGTCTCAGTACCACAGCGCTTGTGTTCAAGTAACCATTATTTTACTTAATAACAGCCACAAAGAGCAAGAGTAGAAATGCTGGCAACTCAAATAAGCCAAAGAGAAACCACTGAGTGCTTCCTTAAGTGAAAAGGTGACAGTTCTCAATTTAAGGAAAGGAAAAAAAAATGTATGCTGAAATTGCTAAGATCTATGGTAAGAACAACTCTTCTACCCATGAAATTATGAAGAAAGAAAATAAATTTGTGCTAGTTTTGCTGTTGCATCTCAAACTGCCAAAGCTACTGCCACAGTGCATGATAAGTACTTAGTTATGATAGAAAAGGCATTAAATTTGTGTAGAAGGCATGAACAGAAAATGTGTTCCTACTGACAGCAACATGTTGCACCAGAAAGCATTGAGCCTATACAAAGACTTCGCAAGGGGTTCCCTGAAAGAAATGACACCAAGCCATTTACTGTGAGAAAGGGATGGTTACACGGATTCAGGAATAGGTTTGGCATTTTATCATCTCACATCACCGCACAAAGAAGGGTGAGTATCTTACAATAGGATATTTTGAGAGAATGGAGACAAACCACATTTATATAACTTTACAGTATATTGTTATAATTTTTTATTATTAGTTGTCAATCTCTTACTGTGCCTAATTTATAAATTAAACTTTGTCATAAGTATGTATGAATAGGAAAAAAACATAATATATAGGATTTGATATTGTCTGTAGTGTCAGGCATCCACTGGGGGTCTTGGAACATATCTCCTACAGATAAGGAGAACTACTGTATCAGTAGTTTGTTCTTTTGTGTTGCTGATTAGTATCTCATTGTTTGGATATGTACAGTTTGTTTAACCATTCACCCACTGAAGGACATTGGGTAATTTTCAGTTGTATTTTGCTTTGTGTTTTCAAATATAAATAGAACTGCTCTAAACATTTTTGTACAAATATTTGTGTAAACATTGGTTTTCAATTCTCTAGGCTTTATATACAGGAGCAGGATTGCTGAGTCATATGGCAAGTGGTGCTTATAAGAAACTGCCAAAATGTTTTCAGAGTGGCTATACCATTTTGCATTCCCACCAGGAATATATGATCTCCATTTTATCTGAATGCTTGCCAGCCGAGTCAGTATTTTAAAATTTAGTCATTCTAATAGCTATGTAATAGTATTTTATTATTGTAGTTTGCTTTTCTCTAATGACTAATGAAGTTGAACATATTTTGATATGCTTTTTGCCATCATTGTATCTCTTTTCATGTATTTGCTCAAGTGTTCCAATGAATAGTTTATTCAAACGTATAGTTTGTTTTCTGATTGTTGAAGTTTGAGAGTTCTTCACATATTCTGAATACATTTAATTTGTTGGATATATAATTTGCAAATAATTTCACCTAATCTGTAGCTTACCTTCATTGTCTTAAAGTGTCTGTCACAGAGCAATTTCTTTTTAAATGTTAAGTCTAATTTATACTTTTCTTTTATGGATCATGCTTTGTGTCATATTTAAGACTTCTTCATCTACCACTAGGCCACATAAGTTTTACCATATATTTTCTTCTAGAAATTTTATAGTTTTATGTGTTACATTTAGATGCATGATCCATTTAAGTGAATTTTTCTATAGGTTGTGAGATTTAGGCTGAGGTTTATTTTTTTTCCTGTTCCATTCATCTAAATGTTTGTCTCTTTATCAATGTTATACTGTCTGGATCAGTGTAGCTTTTATAGTAAGTCTGAAAATCAAGTTAATATAATTCTTCCAAATCTATTTTATTTTATCAGACTGACATAAATAAATATTTGAATAAATAAATAAATGGAGAAAAACTAAACCTTTCTTACAGAAGATTTTAAAATAACATCAAAGAAATGAGGAAAATAGAAAATAACCTTTAGACCACCACGATGGACATTGCCTATAGCATGAATGTTAAAATTGTTTGTGGGCAAAATGTTAAGGAAAAATAAGATAGTTGCATTGCCTCTACGTATCCTTCCAAAATATTTATGTTACTATGATGGTTTTAACAGATATTTTCTAATCATTTGATACCCCTCTCTAAAGGAGGTAGAGATTAATTTTCCTCCCCACAAGTGTGAGCTGGATTTAGTGACTCACTTATAACAAATAGAATATGGAAAGGTAAAAATCATAATTTTACAGTGGAAAAACCTGGCAGACAGCACTTTAACCAAGTGATCATGGTTAGCATCACCAGTGATAAATCATGTTGCTACTAGGTACTCTGATACGATGCAGTGAAAACAGCACATTGCCTCTGTGATATAGTTTCCAATAATCCATAACCTCAGTCTAATCTTGAGAAAACATCAAACAAACCTAAATGGCTATAAAATACTAACCAGGACTCATCCAAAGTGTCAAGCTCCTGACAGACAAGAAAAGACTGAAGAACTGTCACGGACTTTAGAGATGTGATGACTAAACGCAACATGGTATCCTGCATTAAATATGGGGGATGACAAAACCATGAAAAAAGAAAAGGTAAAAAACACATAAATTCTATAGTTAATATCATTGTACCAAAGTTAATTTCTTAGTTTTGCTAAATGTACCATGGTTATGTAAGTTGCTAACATTTGGGGAAGATTTATGAAGTGTATAGTGAATTTCCTATACTATTTTTGCAACTCTTCTATAAACCTAAAATTATTCCAAAGCAAAAAGTCTAAAAACCATGTAACCGTTTGTTCAATTATAAATACCAAAGCATTACCAAACAAAAAATTAATTCTTTGTTTATAACTCCTAGCAAAAAGAAATTATTAATAAGCATAAAACAATTCTTTCGTTCAAGAAAAACTTAAATTTTCCCATTTTTTATTAAATCAGAAACATCTAGTAGTGAATAAGAAG